AAGAAGAAAAATTAATACTAAAATAAAAATATTTAAATCTAATATACTTCCAACATCTATATTTAATTATAATATAATCTATCTTTATATTATTAAATTTAATATTTTTTCTTATATTAGTGGATTAAAATGGATTTATTCCGGAAGAATAACAAAAAGAAAAACAGCCAGTAGAGCAAGAAAATTAATTTATAGTAAAGGTCAATTTAATTTTAATTCTTCATATTCTAAAATTGATTATAAATCTAATATTAATAATCCATTAAAACGAGGTAATGGTAAAAAAAGAATAGGTAATGGTGCAATTGGTATAAAAGTCTTTATAAATAATACTATAAATTTAGTATAATTTATACCATAAAAAAAAATAATAATTAAAAAAAATTTAAAAATTATGTTAGCTTGTGCAAAATTAATCGCAGCTGGTTTAGCTGTTTTATCTTTAGGTGGTACTTCAATGGGTATTGGTAACGTTTTCTCTTCTTTATTAAACTCTTTAAGTAGAAATCCTTCATTAAAAGGACAATTATTCTCTTATGCTATCTTAGGTTTCGCTTTAGTTGAGGCAATGGGGCTTTTCGCTTTAATGATGTCTTTCTTATTCTTATACGGATAATTAATTCTCACAAATATAAAATAAATAATATAAAAATGATGACAAGAAAAGAATTAATACAAAAATATGGTTATGATAATATTAGATGGTTAATAGGTTTTATAGATGCAGAAGCTCATTTTTCAATATTTAGAGTTAAAAATACAATTAATATTTGGTTTAGAATAAAATTACATAAGGATGATATATTAGTATTAAAATGGATTAATATACATTTTTTTAATAATTTAGGTAAAATATTTTTATATAATAATTATGCAGAATTAAAAATTAGTGGGTTAAATAACAATATTAATTATATAATACCTTTATTAGATAATTTTACTTTAAATACTACTAAATACTTAAATTATCTTATTTATAAACAAGTAGTACTAATGTTTAAAAACAAAGAGCATTTAACAGAAGAAGGTAAATTAAAAATAAATAAATTATTAGAACAATTTAACCAAAATAGAACTAATTATATAATGCCTTCTAATCATAATATTCTTATAGATGATTCTTGGTTACTTGGATTTATTGAAGGAGATGGTTGTTTTACTATAAGTAATTATAAACCAGCTTTTATTATAACTCAAGACGGTAGAGATTTAAAAGTATTAGAAAAAATTCAAAAATTTTTAGAGTGTGGTAATATAAAAAAATGTAAAAGGAAAACTGAAATAAGAACCACTTATGATTATACTATAACTTCCATAGATTACTTAATAGATGCTATTTATAATAGATTTTTAAAACTAAAAATACATACAAATAAAAAGAATGATTTTTATAAATGGGGTATAATGCTAAAACTTGTAGCAGAAGGTTATCATAGGATTGAAGGTGCTGATAAAATATTTACTCATTTAAAAAATACTATGAACAAACAAAGATTATCTACCAATATAAAATTTAATAGTTTTGATCCAGATATAGTAAAATATTATTTAATTGATGAATTATTATCAAATATACCTCCTTATAATTTATGTAATATTACGAATAGGAGATCAATAAGATTAAAAAATTAATTGTATTTATATTCAATAGGGTTTTATTTTTTTTTCTATTATTTATTAGTTAAAGCATAAGTATTATTTTATTTTTATATTTTTTACTAGTTGAAGCATAGGTATTATTTATAAATTATTTCTATATATTTTATTTTTTTATTTAATTTCTTACTTTTATTTTATCTGTTTGCTTTAATGATGTCTTTCTTATTCTTATACGGATAATTAATTCTCAAAAATTTTAATAATAATGATGAATACTAATAAAAATTATATAAAATTAAATTCTTGGTTTATAACTGGTTTCACAGATGGAGAGGGTACATTTAGTATAGTGGTTAGAGTTAGTAAAACGAATAAATTAGGATATAGGATAATACCTGTTTATTCTATATGTGCTAAAAATACAACAGAAAATCTTAAATTATTAGAATCTATACAATATTATTTTGGAAACATTGGTTATATATACTCATCTGGTAATATAACTAGATTTGAAGTACATAAATTAGAAGAACAAACAATAATTCAAAATCATTTTGAACAATACCCATTACAATCTACTAAGTTAGTTCATTTTCAACTATGGTGTAAAGCATTAGATATTATGGGTACAAAAAAACATCTAACTGAATCAGGTTTTTTAAAAATATTAAATTAAAAAAGTGTATTTCCTAAAAGTTTAAGTCCTATACTTTAAGAAAAATTTTCAAATATACCTATTTATGAGAAACCTTTATTTATATCTTCCATTGAATCATTAAATCCAAACTGGATAACGGGATTTGTTCAAGCAGATGGTAATTTTGATCTTAGTATAACTAAATCAGAGAATAAATTAGGTATTACATGTAATCCTAAATTTAGAATCTCACAACATGAAATAGATTTAGTATTACTTAATAGAATTTTACAATATTTTATTATTGAACAAATATTAAAATTTAATCCAAATATTTTAGTATATTATATAGCAGGTTTATCTAAAATAGCTGAAATAATAGTACCTTTTTTTAATTAATATTATTTTATATTTATAATATTGATTACTATATTTTAATTTCTTATATTTATATTTTATTTTATATAAATATAGTCAGATTAGCTTAATTGGTAAAGCAGTAATTTTGTAAATTACCTTATATGGATTCAAATTCCTTATCTGGCTAATAATATAATGCCTACTTGAAGAAATTGGTAGACTTAAACGATTTAAAATTGTTTGCACTAAGTGCATGAGGGTTCAAGTCCCTCAGTAGGTAATTAAGAGAAGAAAGCATTTTGGTATTGCAATCGCCCTGTAAAGGCGATGGTTTCGACCATTCTGGGTTCAAATCCCAGTCTTCTCAAAAAAAAGGGGGAGATAGCTTAATGGTAAAGCCTACTGCTCATAACAGGAAAGATGTAAGTTCAAATCTTACTCTCCTCAAAAAAAAAATGAATAAATATAATAGTTTATATATAAAACTCATAATTAAAAAATAATGTGAATAAGTGTAATGGTTTTGCACATAAGGCTCATGACCTTAAAGAGATTGTTCAATTCAATCATTCACACAAAAAGATCTCATCATCTAAAGGTAGGATCTAGCACCTTCACTGCTATAATGTTCGTTCGAATCGGACTGAGATTAAAAATAAAGGAATCGTAACTTAAAGGTAAAGTGTTTGCTTGATAAGCAAAAAATAATGGTTCAATTCTATTCGATTTCATAATAAAAATAGATTAGATATCTTAATGGTAAAGTATTGGGCTGCAAACCTAATTATGAGTGTTCAATTCACTCTCTAATCTTATATAATATCAAAAATATTATAAATTTTTGATTTTTTATTAGGGAGTATAACTTAATTGGTAGAGTAGCAGACTTTTAATCTGTTTTGTTTGGGTTCAATTCCCAATATTCTCAATTTATGCTTTGATAGCTTAACAGGTTAAAGTACGGAACTGAAAATTCTGGGTAGGATGTTCGAGTCATCCTCAAGGCATTATAATAAAAGCTGTAGTAGCTTAATGGTAAAGCCAATCACTGTTAATGATCGGATCTCTGTTCAATTCAGAGCTACGGCTTATTTTAGTATTAATTTTTATTAGTTGAGAATCAAGCATATATGTTAATGGGCTGCCCACAATTATATCATCATAAGTAATATATATTCTTATAAGTTTTCTACTTTTCGGCTTATTTTTATTTTAGCTCCGTCCGGGGCTTGCTCCCGGCGGTGCTGGGAACCAGCTAATAAAATTTATAGTAGGGCTCAGCTGAGTGAACCCCGCTTCACCCTGCCGGGCTCAGCTACTATAAAAGGAAAAATCGCCTAATGGTATGGCAATAGTTTGCTAAACTACGGATATAATATATCCTTGGGGGTTCGAATCCCCTTTTTTCCAAAAAACAAAAGGATAATATTTTCCTATATAAAATATAAAAAAAATGAAATTAGCTTTATTATTATTTTTAATAGGTATTTATGGTATTATTTTAAATAGAAAACATTATTTATTAATATTAATATCTATTGAAATATTATTATTAGCCGTTACTATTTTAGTTCTTTATTTTTCTATTCTTCATGATGATATATTAGCTCAAATATTTGGTTTATATATAATATCAATAGCTGCTGCTGAATCAGCTATTGCTTTATCTATATTAGTTGCTTATCATAGATTAAGAGGTACAATAAATATTACCTTAATTTCTAAAAAAACAACTACTTTATTTCCTCAATTTACTTTATAATATTTAATTCTTTTATATTTGGGTAGATGACTGAGTTGGTTAAAGGTACTTCGCTTGAAACGAAGAGAAGTTTTGAATAACTTCCATGGGTTCAAATCCCATTCTGCCCGTATACGGATAGTAGCGTAATAGGTAACGCCTCTAATTTGGGATTAGAAGATTGTAAGTTCGATTCTTGCCTATCCGAAAAAAAAATTTATTATGGTTAATAGAAAAATAATAAAAAAAAAATTTTTTTATGAATACATTATTATTATTTATTATATTAGCACCTATAATATTAATAAGTTTACTAGTGATAAATCTTATAATACCTATTAATAAACCCGATTTTTCTAAATTATCACCATATGAATGTGGTATGGATACAATAGGTACAGCAAGAGAAAAATTTAATATACAATTTTATTTAGTAGCTATATTATTTTTAATATTTGATATAGAAGTTATATTTTTATTTCCTTTTGTTTCTGTTTTATATAGTATTTCTTTATTTGGTTTTTGGATAGGGACAATATTTATATTTATATTAACTATAGGGTTTATTTATGAACTAAGTAAAGGTTTATTAAATATAATTGATAAAAAATAAAATATAATTCTCTAAATTATTATATATAAAAAATAGTAAATTAAAAATTAAGGAAAATAATTTAATTGGTAAAATGCTAGTCTCCAAAACTGGTTTTAAAGGTTCAATTCCTTTTTTTCCTGATAAATAAAATATATATAACACTCTTAACTTAATAGGTTAAAGTAATAATCTTCGAAATTATTAATATGGGTTCAATTCCCATAGAGTGTTTTATAAGGCGAATATAGTTTAAAGGTAGAACTACAATTTGTGGCATTGTTAATATGGGTTCAATTCCCATTATTCGCCTTTAACTTGTTTAGCTTAATAGGATAAAGCATCGATTTTCTAAATCGTTTATTGTAGGTTCAAATCCTTCAACAAGTAAAATAATAAAGAATTTATTATTATAAATATATATTTATTTTAGAAGCTGAACCTTACTGGTTTTCAGCATCGTAGTAAACTAGTCCTGTAGGAGCTTAAAAAGAGTAAGAAATTATTATAAAAGTAAAAAAAAATATAAATATAAAAATGATCATATTATTATTATTAATACCTATAATAGGTACATTATTAATTTTAAGTATAAAAGATAATAAAATAATAAAAAAAATAGGATTAATTACAGCTATAATAAATTTTATTATATCTATTATAATGTGGAATAAATTTGACTACAGTTGTAGTCAACCACAATTTTTAATTAGATTTACTAATACTATAACAGCTGGTGTTGACGGAATATCTTTATTATTTTTATTATTAACTATATTTATAATAGTTATATCTATATTAGGAGGTTGGAATATAAAAGAAAATGTAAAATACTTTATAATTTCATTATTAATATTAGAAACTATATTAATAGGTGTATTTGTAATATTAGATATATTAATATTTTATATATTTTTTGAAACATCACTTATACCTATGTTTTTATTAATTGGTTTATTTGGTAGTGATAAACAAGGTTTTAAAAAAGGTAAAGAAAAAGAAGAATTTACTAGAATATATGCAACTTATCAATTTTTTTTAATGACATTAGCAGGATCATTATTAATGTTATTAGCAATATTAATTTTATATTCTTTTTCAGGAACTTATGATTATATATTTATTTCTTCATCTTATTTATTACCTTCTAGACAATTTATTTTATGGTTGTCACTTTCCTTTAGCAAGAAAGATATGACCAACAGATTAATTCATTCAAGTAGTAACACTTTATATAATAAAAAAATTAATATTGACACCCTTATAAATATATCAACCAATAAAGAATGTAAAAGTTTAGTTATTTATGGTTCTAATTTTAGTTCAACTTTTAAATATTAAAATTTTAGTTCTAAATTGAGATCTATATGTGCAATACCTAAACATTTAAATTCTATAATATTAGGAGTTTTATTATCAGATGGTTATTTATATAAAAATAAAACCAATAAAACTTTATTGGCTTTTAAACAAAAAAATTTTGAGTATCTTTGGTTTATTTATAATAAATTTACTCATTATTGTAGATCATTACCTATAATAAATATAACAAATTTAAATGGTAAAAAATATTATATTTTTATGTTTGCTACTAGAGTTTATCCTTGTTTTACTAAATGGCATGAACTATTTTATATCAATGGGCGTAAAAGGGTGCCTTTAGATTTATATGAAATGTTAACCGATAAACCGTTGGTTTATCCGATAATGAGGGGTGGAACTAAAACATATAAAGGTATTACACTTCAAACTCAAACTTTTACTGTAGAAGAATGTACTTTTATAATAAGTATATTAAATTATAAGTTTAATTTAAAATGTAATATTCATATGCAAAGAAATCAACCAACTATTTATATTACAAGTAAATCTATAAAAAAACTTAAACCCTATATATTACCTTATATGTGTTCAAGTATGTTATATAAATTAGGTGAATAATTTACATATGTTTTAAAATTTTAATTAAAAATTTAGATATTTATTATTTTTATTAATTTAAAGAACAATGATTGTACTACTATGAATTAAATTTGCGTGGCAAACTCGAGAGACTTTCAAAATTTAGAAAAAATAATAAATTTTGAAATATCGTCGAACTAAGTCAATTTATTGAAAAGTTTATTGTAAAAGCGTAGAGGCCAAACGCCACATGATTACCTATGGGATAATAAAATTGTCCTAAGGTATTATAAGAAATGGTCCAGTTCACCGGTAACGGTTCATGAATTTACAATTCATGTAAAATATTTATATAACATAAAATTATATAAATATTAAGAAAATAAGCCAGCTATATCTGAAATGATAAAAGGCCTAACCCTGAGGATTTTTTATTTCTTTTGCTATAAAAACACCTTTATTACCATTTCATCAATGGTTACCTTTAGCTCACACTGAAGCACCATTAAGTGGTTCTATTATATTAGCAGGAATCATGCTGAAATTAGCAACTTATGGGTTTATAAGATATTCTTTAAATTTATTTCCTGAAGGTTCTTATTATTTTTTACCTTTAATATTACCATTATCTCTTTTAGGTATAATATATTCTTCTTTAACTACTTTAAGACAAATAGATTTTAAAAAAATTATTGCTTATAGCTCTATTGGTCAAATTGGTCCCGTGAATATAATATATTTACTGCAACAAACTATATGCGGGGAATTTAATAAATTTCTTATTAAAGAAATTTCAATATTACAGAATACTAAAATTGTAAATAATCTTATTTTATTTTTAGATTTCATTTTAGTAAGAATTTTTATAATATATTTAAATAATCCGCAGATAACCAAAGCATTTAATATGCGAGTAGGAATCTCAGAGGCCATATGTTTGTTATTTACTTATAAATTAAAAAAATATTTTAATGGATTATATATTTACCCGTTTTTTTATTTTACTTTTATGTATACTACTTCTACTAAAAATAAAAATAATACTGAAAAAAGATTTTATGAGTGGTTAGCTGGTTTGATTGATGGTGATGGTTATTTTTATATAAATAAAACAGGATCTGTAGGTTTAGAAATAACTATGGATATTAGAGATGAACACTGCTTGTATCTAGTCAAACAACAATTTGGTGGTTCAATAAAATTAAAATCTGGTGCTAAAGCAGTTAGATACAGATTACATCATAAAGAAGGATTATTAAAATTAATACAAGCTTTAAATGGGCAACTACGTAACCCAATCCGATTAGATCAATTAAATAAAATATGTGATAAATATAATATAAATTTAATACAACCGCAACCATTAATATATGCTAATGGTTGGCTATCAGGATTTTTTGACAGTGATGGTAGTATATATATGGATAAAATAAATTATAAAATTATATTTTCATTTACTCAAAAAAATAGATATCTTTTAGATCCTTTAGTTAATTTATATGGAGGTAAAGTTTATTTTCATAATAAAAAAAAAAATACATTTAGATGGGTTATATATAAAAAAGAAGAAATATTATTTTTATATAAAGACTATTTTCATATTTATCCTTCTAGATCAGCCAAACTGACTAGGATCAATTTAATACCTAAATTTTATGAATTAAATGATTTAAAATGTCATTTGGCAGATAATAATTCAATTATAAATAAAGCATGGCTACAATTAATTAATTCATGGAATAAAGGTTTTAAATCAGAATAAGTAAATAAAGATATGGTCCAAACGAAAAATATTTATAAATATTTTTTGTAGCACATGGCTATAGCAATAATGAGTCTATTTTCATTTTTATATCAAGGTTTATCAGGAGCAATATTTTTATCAATAGCTCATGGTTTTACTTCTCCTGGTTTATTTATTTGTGCTGCTACTTTATATGATAGATTTCATTCTAGAACTTTATTATATTATAGAGGATTAAATATTTTTACACCTATTTTAGGTATAATATTATTTTATTTAACTTTAGCTAATATGGCTACTCCTTTAACTAGTAATTTTATAGGTGAATTTTTATCTTTTATAGGTATATTTAAAATTAATCCTTTAATAGCTATATTTAGTTCTTTAAGTATTATTTTAGTTGCTGCTTATTCTATCTGGTTTTTTAATAGAATTTTATTTGGTTCTTATTCTTTATATTTAAAATCTAATATATTAGATCTTACTAGAAGAGAATTTTATTTTTTATTACCTTTATTAATAATTATAATTATTACAGCTATTTATCCTAATTTATTAACGGATATAATAGAATATGATATATCTACAATATTATTAACAATTTCTTATTTTAATTCTAATGAAACTATAAATTTATTATTTATGGATTTTTATCTTTTATAAAAGATATAAAAGATAATGCTTAAAAAAAATTTTTTTTAATATTTATTGGTTTATTCAAAATATTATTAATAATAAATATAGGATATAATCTAATTTATTTTTTATTAAATACTTATTTATTAATAAATATTCTAAATATTTTATTAATTATCATATTTATATTTATTATAAAATTATAACTCTTTACTTTAATTATAAATTTTTATATCATTATTATTTTTAATTTATAAAAATCAACTCTAAATAAAAGAATAAAAATCTTTTATAATATTATTTTTATATTATAAAAATTCTTTAAGCTTGAATACTATAATCAAAATTATTATATAAAGACTATAAAATTTTTTTATAGATCGGTGGAATCCATCGGATCTAATAAATCAGTATAATATATTGGATATCATTGATTTAGTTTACAAAAATTAAATTGATTTATATAATAAAGAATGTAAAAATTTTATAAATTAAAAATAATAATGTAAAATTCAATGTTTTAAAATAAAAATAATTAATATATTATCAATATAAATAATTTTATAAATTTTATATTTTTATTTAAGATAAATTCTAGATAAATAAATTTATAAAATTTATTTATAAAAGGGGATATAATATAATGGTAGTATATGGCTTTTGCAAAGCTAGAGTAAGAGTTCAATTCTCTTTATTTCCAATTAATTTTTTAGTAATATTTGAATAAAATATAGAAACAAAATTAATTGATATATTAATTGATATATAAATATATCAATTAATATATTCATAAATATTTAAAAAATTTATCAAAAAAAATATATTAAAAAATATAAAAAATGAAATTTTTCAATAACTTTA